CCGAACTAGGCTGGAATTACCTGGCTCGACCGTAGCGCCACCAGTGGCTATTACCAGTTATGTCTCTGCTAAGCCTCTCCTATGGACCAATCAGATTCCACCTCTCGTATCACTTGCGTTTGCTTCACACAAAATGGTGGCGCCGAGTCAGGACGATCTGATCGATAATAAAGATCTATATTGTGATAAAACGGGTCTTACATCGCGAAATGCATCTAATCACGTGAGCACCTTGATTAAAATCATGAAAAGATTTGGAAAGTATCTGTTGACAACGAGTTGGCGGTGAACATGCTTTGCAAGTCCTGCAATCGACCGAAATCTGCATGACACTTTACGAACCGATTTCGATTTCGGTGCGCGATTTTGATTGGACAATGCATACACTCGTTAGTCCAGCCAAAATGTAACTCCATAATACCAGCCTAGTTCGGCAAGGGTGGAAAATTGACTTTTATAGTCAGTTAACTCTCTTACCTCGGGAAGTATTGCCCCGGTGGCCCAGTGGGAAAACAGGGGGTTACAAAACTTAGCAAGATATGTGAGGTTGCAGGTTCGATTCCCTTCATCCAAAACGAAAAAGTTTCATTTCTTTTCTTTTTCATTTCAATTTTAGAACATCGAACGTTTAAAACACGAAGTCCAAATTCCATCTGCTACTCAAATAATCAAGTCTTGATTGGAAAAAGTAAAACCCCACACCAGGTCTTTAAAACCTCCCAAGAGGTAATTACGAGACAAAAAGATACCTACAATACAATAGGCAAAAGTGGTAGTGGGTTTATAATGGATGTGTTCTGATCAAGAAACTATTTTGAATAGCGTAACGATGGCATTCATTTCAAAACCGTTTGATACACTGACATTTTTAGGTCATGCGTTTGTTTGATTATTTAGTCACGCGTTCGACCAGTGCCGCCGCCTCAGTGTTTCTGTTCTGCCGAGGAATATAAGCCACGCCCCTTTTCAGTCCAACGCTGATCATTAATTAACCTGACACCAAAAATCACCGTTCCGTAAGATGGCTGGCATTGACGAGTTTGTGGAGTTATTGACAGGCGGTGCACAGGTGCAGTGTGAGATTTCAAGGTTTAAACACGAGTGATTGTGTGTGATGACGTTACTTCAGAGGACGGACAGACCCGGGAACATTCCGGGATAGAATAGGTCTTCAGCAACCCATGCTTGCCGTAAAAGGCGACTAGTCTTGTCGTAAAAGGCGACTAACGGGATCGGGTGGTCAGGCTCGCTGACTTGGTTGATGCATGTCATCGATCCCAATTGCGTGGATCAATGCTCATGATATCAATCACTGGATTGTCTGGTCCAGACTCGATTATTTACAGACCGCCGTCATATAGCTGGAATATTGCTGAGTGCGGCGTTAAACAACAAACAAACAAACAGAGGACGGACAACGTGGTCACCGCGGACGTCATCGTACATAGAGGTGTTGGTACACAATGTGTCCAAATTACCCCATGCTTCGCGTGGTGACCAACATGGTGACCCCAGGGACTGTGTTAATACTAGAGAAGCAGGTTTCTCTCCGGGTCGACATTACGGTTGCGTGTAGTCTGTCGACCGCGACATTTAACCAAAGTCGATCAATATAACCGACCACCAAGACATTCCAAATTAGATAACAGGGACTCCATGACCGTTATTAATATAACTTCTTTCAGTGGCATTTAGAAGTTGGTGTGATGAAGTAAGACAAGTTCTATGGATGAACAACTTCTTTATTACAATTAGTGCGACGTTTCGGTGTAGATCCTAACACCTTTATCAAGCAAGTGATCATCACTTATCACTTGCCTGATAAAGGTGTTAGGATCTACACCGAAACGTCGCACTAATTGTAATAAAGAAGTTGTTCATCCATAGAACTTGTCTTACGTTATTAATATAGTTGTTGATCTACAAGTAGATGTTTTGCAATCATAAAGATTTGTATGTGCCATGGTGTGTGCCCATACCTTTCCGGTAAAAGATTTTCAGAAGCAGAAACATGGACAGGTAGGTAATGAGTCACCAGGATGTCTTCTGTCCCCAACCCGAACCCCCCTTCCTCCGCCCTTATCGGTCACCCCAATACCTTTCTCCACCCTCACCGACCACCCCATACTACAGGGAGGTTTGCCCCCTTTCAATTTCCAGATTGAATGACTCATTAATTTTCCGCGTCACGTAATCGGCTTTCAAACAAAGAGCTCTTCAAAAGTTTTAAACCTTTTTACTCGAGTCGGGGCCGCGGTCCGTGGCGGATGTGAGTGTATTGTGACAAGGTTTTACGATTAATTAGTTTTCCGGTTGAGTTTGGTGTGAACTTACTGGCCGGGCCTCTCAAAGAACCTATACCGCGAGAAAACCCGCACCGGACACTGATGTGCGTATTAAAAACATATAGTGTATAAAAAACATTAGTCTGTCTCACAGTCCCAGAACCATATCATGTTCCCTTCCGCCTGGCCCCCACTGTCTTGTGAATACCAGAAATAGAGCAAGTCTAGATTTTTCACATCTGAATCTCACATCTCACTGGGGCTCCTTTTCAATTTATAGGGAGTAGCTTGTTTCTTTTAAAATTATATATTTTCTGAGACAAAGTTATCGTCTAAATAAACACATGTGTTCCGCTGTATTGTATATGTATACAGTGTGTAGTAATACCTCTCTGTACATCTGTAGTGTATATGTATGTAGTAGACGATACCGTCATGTACAGCTGTAGTATATCTATATACAGTATGTGGAACTACCGCTTCGTACAAGTTTTGTTTTTCTATACCTATATACAGTGTAATAATACCGCCATGTAAGCTACAGTATATTTGTATAGGGTGTGATATAATACCGCTATATAAGCTACAGTGTATACGTGGTGTGATATAATACCGCTATGTTCTCTACAATGTATATAATACCGCTATGTTCTCTACAGTGTATATTCACGGTGTGATATAATACCGCTATGTTCTCTACAAGTATATTGACGATGTGATATAATACCGCTATGTTCTCTACAAGTATATTCACGGTGTGATATAATACCGCTATGTTCTCTACAATGTATATTCACGGTGTGATATAATACCGCTATGTTCTCTACAAGTATATTCACGATGTGATATAATACCGCAATGTTATCTACAATGTATATTCAAGCAATGTTCTCTACAAGTATATTCACGGTGTGATAGAATACCGCTATGTTCTCTTCAGTGTATATTCACGGTGTGATATAATACCGCAATGTTCTCTACAAGTATATTCACGATGTGACATAATAACGCTATGTTCTCTACAATGTATATTCACGGTGTGATATAATACCGCTATGGTCTCTACAAGTATATTCACGATGTGATATAATACCGCTATGTTCTCTACAATGTATATTCACGGTATGATATAATACCGCTATGGTCTCTACAAGTATATTCACGATGTGATATAATACCGCTGTATTCTCTACAAGTATATTCACGGTGTGATATAATACCTCTTTGTGCGCTATAGTATATCTGTCTACAGTGTGTAACAATACAGCCACGTATAGCGAGTGACACACTAAGCAGGAATGTCGTAGTCTAACTTTATTTTCAGCTTGACAAGTTTCTTTCACCGGATTGTGATATACAAGGATTGAACAAGGGCCGAGATAAAACTGTAGCTGAACATTTGACAGCGTGTGCGACATGTGTAGTTACCAATACATACCGAGAGCGCGAGGAACCCAGTGCGGGCCAATAATATTCATCTGTGGTATACTTTGTCATACAGGTGTGTTCTGAATGTATTCAAAGCCTGTCTACACAGGGGTCAGGCAACGTGTATTGTCGGGAGTTGTGTATAATCAAGTTACGAGGGTTTAGATGATTAGATTGGGGTAGTTGTGGTGTTTAGGATTAAGTATTTCGAATCATGGCCGGGTGGTCATTGCGTATTACGCCCTCTGGCGGAGGGGAGATAATGATATGATTTCTGTGGAGCCGCGGCAGGCCGACACATTGTCCGAGTATTGACAAGGGATTTGTAAGTTTACAAGGGCTTCAGGTTTGGGTTAAGCTTGACTTGGCTGATAGGGCAGACGAACAGAGCGTGACGGATATACCTGGCTAGTTAAATTGCCAATATGTTAAAATAGGTGATGCGAAGTTATGTCAAGTTATACAGCAACGTACTCCAGGGTATCTGACATGTTAGGGACCGATCAATTGATATGGTGTGTGTGTGTGTGTGTGTGTGTGTGTGTGTGTGTGTGTATGTGTGTGTGTGTGTGTTGGGGGGGGGGGGGGGGGGTGTTGGGGGGGGGGGGGGGGGGGGCTGGGTTTGAAGGGTGGTGGTTGAAGAGGACCTTGGATTTCAGATATAAAAAGACAAAGACAAAGCATGACCCAAATAATTATGCATCAGGCTTTGTTTTGTCAACCAAAATAGATTTAATTACACACATGTATAGTTTTGCGGATGTAGCTGTAAAAAAACATAGACTCCATTCCCCACCTGTTTATCCTCCTATGTTGTGTAAATCCTACTTTATGTTTAGTTAAGTCTTAATCTGTAACTCTGTCCAATGGGCCCGAGAATGTCTAAGAAGGTCCGAACGCACTGCATCCACGACAGTGATAGTTGCTGTGGATGTTCATCTCTACCAGGTAAACATCACTACCTGTCCTGCAGTATCCACCTCACAGCGTCAACCACACATGTACGTGACGTTGTGACCAGCGGCGTCCTCAGTCGCCAGCAGCAGGGGAAGGAAGAGTTGGGATAGCAATGTCAGTGTGATCCCGACATGCAGTAACACAAGATAGCCTAACACACAGAGAACCTACTGCTGACGTTGGCCTTTAGTTGGTGAAGGGAAGGGGGAGTGGAGACAAAGAAAACAGGGGGTCAGTGAGGCCATCCTCTCATCACTGTGGGTACATGAGGCATGTTAATGAGTTGACATCGTTGTGTACATAATATAATGTTATGTTCTTTTCTTTCAGGTCTGAGGCGAAAGTAAACGCCAGCCGCACAGGGAACACAACAGAATCTGAAGAGAAGAACGTGTTGATGCGTGAAAGCTTTGAAGAGAAAACAGCATTTGAAGGTGTTTAACACATCGAGGTTATCGACGGCGAAATATACCCGTGAGAGAAATCCGTTCATAATCCCTTGATATAGCTTCCTCGGAAACCACAGGTGAACGCTGTACTGTGTGTTCCGCAAGGGTCTCGTTGGATCAGTCTGTAAGAAGTGATCGGGTCGGCGTGTCGTGAACAGTTACATTGCCATCAAGAACGAGCAGTTAAGTATCAGTACCGCTGTCTATAAACATACGTAACATTTTCCTGTGAGGCGTTATAAGCCGCTCAAGGGATTGTGTTGCCTCAGTGTTGAGCCGAGCTTGTCTTGAATTTGTTTCGGTCTTAATTGCGAGTGGCAGCTCGGGAGACCTGTGGGGTGTTTCTGTAATCCCTATGGGGAGAGTGAAGGGGGCAGGGTGGTGAGATGCATGCACGAACCCCTGAAGCCTACAGGTCCAGCACTCTAGAGCGAGTTGACGGAGAGAGGGGCAGTGCGTCTATGTCCCGGATCACAGAACTGAGGCTGTATGGTACTCCCGATCATACTGTTAAAGCTCAGACCCCAGTTGACCCAACCAAGGACGGAATTCGGAGAATTACTGGAAAATATGAGTCCCCGGAGAATCTTTGCATAAGTCCCACTATTATTCGAACAAGTATGAACGGTCTTGATAAACCCGGAAGTGTCGTCGGCGGTCCGGCGATGTCCGATTGTTCTTCGGACATCTCCGACGCAACGCCGACTTGGCCGAGCACGGTCAACGTGGCCTCTGCGAACTTTAGCGAAGGGGTGACGGAGCAGGATATTTTACAGGTGGAGATGTTCTATAAGAGCCACAAGACAGAGGTGTGCGTGTGTCGGTGCCTTGCCAATCTCTACTTTGGCGGTGCCAAGAACGCAGCGCAAGGGGACACGTGGGAGTTCCACAACACCGGTATCCCGGTGCTAGTACTGGACTCTGGAGATCACCATAGAAACAGGAAGTTGTGCATAATTATGGCGGAGAAAGGGACAGGGTTTACATTGTGGAAGGAAGGGATTGACCACTTGACCAAGTACAGCGTACCCTCTGCTAACTTCCACACCATGTATCTGACCACGGACCACACCAAACAGGCTGGCCTTAGCTTCGACGACAGCAACGCCGCTGTCGAATTCTACTCCTTCATCTCGTCCTTGACCACTGATCCAAATGATGACTTGTTTAACTTGAGCAAGAAAAAGAACAAGAAAAAGAAGAAGGAAAAGTCGAAACCGAAGTACAAGGCACCGAAGAAGACGGACATTTCACAGCCTTGTTGTTTTGTTCACGTGACCAAACTTGAACGACCCGAGTTTCCTCCCCCTCCTTCAAGGCTAGGTGACCTATCTGACCTGATGGGCGCCAAGTTAGTAATACCACGAAGCACAAGTTCGGAAGTGTCCGATGATTCAACGTCACATTCGGCTGCTTCCGAACATTCGTAATGTCGGTTGGTGGACGTTATTATCGACTCTTAATGGTATGTGATAACGTCATATAACTCATTGCTACGTCACTATAGCATGGTGTGTGTCTTAACCCTTTATAACAACTATTTATTGACCGGATTGGAGAAATGGATGTGTCTAACTACGAGAAAGGATATTCACGTGTCATTGTGACGTAAACAGCAGCATCCGAAGGCTTTGAGCCCGGGATGAGGATTATAAATTTGAACCATCGTTGTGGATACCACGTGTGCCAGATTCGACATTCAATGCAACATCAATGTTTTCGTGACGTCATGATGACGTCATTTGTGTGTACGTTAATTGTTACTTATTCTATATGAGATGTGCAATGCAAGGGTTAATTAAGCACGTGCTTAAAGTGTTTGGCGTCTTCTGTTCGTTTGGATTATTCTGTGAGACTATGTGTGTACGTCATCACTTTGTGTGGTGATAAGAAGTCAGCACAAAAAGCAACGTAATATGCAACTTTGCTCCATGGTGCTACGGACAAGGAAGTGACAGACAGATATTTCGAGCGGAGCGATACTGATCTCTTAGTGTTGTTAGCCCACATAGGTCTAGCACTAACAGCTGTTGTTCAACACTATTTTGCATGGTCTGTATTACAGTAGTGGCCAACAACAGTGCTATTGTTACATTTTTCTGCATTTTCAGCTTTATGTATATTATCCATCCTGCAATACTGAATATGAGCGATCAAACATTGTGGACGTAGATATGACCATCATCACAATCTCAGCGCACGGAACACGAGGAGTGTAAAGATACAGATATCGGTGCGATATATATCGCAATACAAGCATCTGAAAACGAAACATACATCGATATACATAAATATAGGAGATCCACTTTCAGTCATAAAAAAGTACTTCACAAATCACTCATATTTTAGATGTTAAATTTCTCGTCGTCACATTACGATACAGGTCTTAAATCGGTATTTTCGTGTGTCGCCATATCGTTACACCTCGACTCCACGACTGACCAAATCCCCTCTAGAAAGTAGTCCCATAGTTGTATTGCGTCTGCTTATGTATCATTTCGCGGAGTTGTAAAAGTTAAATATACCTTGGCCTGCGTCTAAATGTGTCTCCTCTGACAAATCTGGCTCTGAATATGTTTCTGGTTTACCTGGCACGTAAAATCTTGTTTATCCAGGGACTTACAGGAGGTTTCAGAAACTGAATGTTATCACAGTGTTTACATTTGTATTTCTCCCAGGGAAGCTGTTCATATCTGAAGGTATTTATTTTCACCACTTAGTTCAATATACGTAAGGGACCTCAAAAAGAAAGAAAGGAGAGATTTTATCGCTAGTTTTAGAACAGGATATTTCTCAGCTTGTACTATATCATCACGGGGATCTTGATGTTACGACACAAACTTTACAATCTCATTAAAATCTGACCTGTTACTCCTATTCCAGCCCCCTTAGAAAACGCTGAAAATACATAATTTTGATAGAAATAAACAACTCCATTTACATTGAAAACGAGCCCAAGTGAGGTGGGAGATCTGAGGAAAATCTAGACTTGCTTCACTGAGGTCAACAGCATTGCAGTAAGGACTGGGCAGAAGGAGAAAATAATATGGTTTAGGGACTGTGAGTCCGACTACAACCACCATTGGGCTGTAATCTAAAGACATCTCCTTAGAAGGTCGTGTTAGGGGAACTAAAATGACGGAACCGTAGGTTTATGAGCCAATCAGATGTCAGCTTTCTAAAAAACGATTCGGCATCGTTTTGTTTACCACCCCCAATAATTGTAAATTGTGACTTGTATAAGTGAAGACCCAGACAGAACACACATTCCATCGATGGCACTCCCTTTTGGCTGCAGATGCAATGGTCATTAAAAGCGACAGGATGTATGAAATATTCCCGACAATGTAATGGCGCCGCTATTTTTTTCACTTTTCTACATGCTGGATTGAATTCCTCGGTCACTCGTACGGAAATAATAAAACGCTTCGACGCTGATTGGCTGATAGACCCCCCCCCCCCCCCCCCCCCCCCGACCTCGGACGAACAGGGTTATGTGTTGGAGTTGAGCATCAGATTTGAATGAGATTGTAACTTTATGACACATGGGCATTTGAACCCCCTTATCACCCAAATTCATTTTAAACACCCGACGTTGTTCTGTTGGTGTTGATTTAGGCTCCAAGTGCCCTGTTACGACTAGTGGTATAGGCAACTAGGGTAATGTGTCTTGTTACTGCTGTATCGGCACGTGCTCATCTGGCAATGTTTGTTTGTTTGTGATTGTCGAGTGTGTACCGATCTGCTGGTCAGGCAGTCCAACACTTGGTGATCGCTTGCTTCGCAATGTAGCCGTCACAGCCACGACCACAGCCACCACGCTGTCATTGCAACATCACGGTGTTGGTACGACTGGTAGTTCAAGGTCCAACGGACGTGAGGTAGTTGTATCAGGAAGTCGATATTCGCCATCCTCGGTGATCTAGTGTACTATGTCACTATGTCTCCATTAATTTACGTAAAATACCCCAGATCCATTTGCTACTATGGCTTGGCTTCGAATCCGACTTGAATGACACGACTCATCAAATTACAAAGAGATTTAGGGTAGTCTAGTGGTTAAAGCGTTCGCTCGTTTCGCTGAAGTCCCGGGTTCTATTCCCCACATCGGTGCAATGTCTGCAGCCCATTTTTGGTGTACCCCATCATTTTGTGGGATATTGCTAAAAGCGGCGTGAAACCATTCTCACTCACCCTTGAAAGATGTAGACGTCACTTCCGACACAGTTTCGCTATGGTGGTAAATTCCTCCTGGGTATCTATCGCAATCCAGACAAATATAATACACTTGATAATCGAGGATGACTTTTCCCATGAACAGATATATTGTTGACCATTGTTTCAGAGATGATATTGCATTTTAATAAACTATGTGTCGCTCCATAATAATAACCCTTTCCACATGATGTGGGAAAGGCAAATAATGTGAAATTGATTATTATGAACATGCTTGCCAATAATGTCAACAGTAAATGATTACTTGGCTGAATATTCCCTGCACCACCTGTTGGCGGTAGTGTTTCCAGATATTGCCGGATCTGCCACGCCCATGTCACTTGGTCATGGCTGTAACTGACAAGGTGTGTCACCGACTTTGCGTCTTTTCATTATCATTTGTTTTCAAATGCTGGTATTTTTGGATAAACTATCTGAAATATTCATTGCTTTGTGTTATTATTTTACACCGTGGGAAGACAGTTGTAGATAACTGTTCAAAGCATTTGTCTCAAGTGTGAAAAATATCAAGCGATCTGATAGTATCTGTGATCATGGTGAATAGAACCTGGGTCATCAGAGACAATATTGACCTCCAAAATTGATCGCAAATCCTAATTCTCCACAGGTATGAATAGGTTTTTACGCCGCTTTCAGAACCAATCCACCAATTTCACCGACGCGCATCACCCCTCCACTCGGCATCACCCCCACCTTCTCGGCCCCCCCCCCCCCCCCCCCCCCCCCCCCCTACCCCGCGGCATCGCCCTACCCCTCGGCATCACCCCATCTCTCCGGCATGACAACACCCCTCGATATCTGCCCTGACCAGCGTACTATCCTACCCAGTTGTGGCCCAGTCGTCTAAGGCACGGTATTTCGCTATGCAGAGTTGCGTCCCTTGGGTAGGACAGGAACCAATGATTGTGAATTCGAATCCCGGTTTGCCCCGATTATGTTTCTAGGTTTGTCAGCTCCACACCTGTGCTCGTGGTATACGTCTGAGCCTTGCATCACATCGGGCTTTCCTCCCACATTAAGCTGACACGCCGTGATATAACTGGAATAATGTTAAAAGCGGCGTTAAGCACAACTCACTCACTATCAATACCATGTCGTACAAGGAGTGACATAAAATCCTCACTCACTCACACGGTCTGTCTCACAAGGTGAGGTGAGGTGAAATGGGGTTTAACGTCGCGTCCAAGATTATTGCACTTATATAGCGGAGTGCGTGCGTGCTTGTACTAGTCCAGACTGATGCCGATTCATACCGCACACTGAGATACCATGCCGCAGTATAACATGAATACCCCACTCAGACACAGTATACTGACTCCGAGCCGACCAGTCCTTGTTTCAGCCCCTTAAAGCCGAGCGCCAGACAGGGTAACAACAAGTACCATCTTTTAACATCTTTTCGTATGACGCGGCCGGGGATCCAACCCCGGACCTTCCGCTCTCCGGGCGGACGCTCTACCACTAGACCACGGAGGCGGTTGTCTTACAAGGCCGATGGTTGCTGGTCACAAGGAGATGTGTGTTCGTGAGGCTGTGTGTGTTGCAGCAACATGTACGCACGGCGTCTTGCACAACACTACAGTACATTTTGACAGACAAATCCTCGCATTTAACACTTAGGGCGAAACAGTCAGCAGAAGCAGGTATGCTTGAGCTTGACTTTGTTTTCCTTTGAGGTTTGATCAGCATTATTGATCATGAATCTTCGTTTCCTTGATCAATTGTCTCTCACAGCTACCATGATTCTGGGGTTTAACTGGTGGCAATTCACACAAGTGCAGCTTCTCAAAATCAATATCTCAAGCTGAAAACTACAAAAAACGAAATTGATTTGTTTTTGCCAATTTTCATTTTTTATGAACCCCCAAGCTAGTTAACACATAATGAAGAACACGGGAGTACAGCACTCAGTAATGCAGTGTGAGTGAAGCACTGCCGTGCAGTGCCGGGGTAGAGTAGGGGGGAGGGTGCTGGGCGCTCGGTGTAATTACCTTGGACGGAGAGGGCATCCAGCAAGTACAGGGAATCAAATACGCTAACGGGGTCGATTTAAGATTCTGCCTCTGCAGTCTGGTATATCTGGCTAGCCAGCAGGCTACTATTTCCCCAACAGATCTGTCAAGCCAGCAGGCTACTATTTCCCCAACAGATCTGTCAAGCCAGCAGGCTACTACCTTCCCTCACAGAACTGTCAAGCCAACAGGCTACTACCATCCCTTACAGAACTGTCAAGCCAACAGGCTACTAGCTTCCTTACAGGACTGTCAAGCCAACAGACTACTACCTCCCTCACAGAACTGTCAAGCCAACAGGCTACTACCATCCCTCACAGAACTGTCAAGCCAACAGGCTACTAGCTTCCTCACAGGACTGTCAAGCCAACAGACTACTACCTCCCTCACAGGACTGTCGTGCTAACAGGCTACAACCTTCCTTTACAGAACTGTCAAGCCAGCAGGCTACTAGCTTCCTTACAGGACTGTCAAGCCAACAGACTACTACCTCCCTCACAGAACTGTCAAGCCAACAGGCTACTACCATCCCTCACAGAACTGTCAAGCCAACAGGCTATTAGCTTCCTCACAGGACTGTCAAGCCAACAGACTACTACCTCCCTCACAGGACTGTCGTGCTAACAGGCTACAACCTTCCTTTACAGAACTGTCAAGCCAGCAGGCTACTACCTTCCTCACAGAACTGTCAAGCCAACAGGCTACTACCTCCCTTACAGAACTGTTAAGACAGCAGGCTACTACCTCCCCTCACAGAACTGTCAAGTCATCAGGCTACTACCTCCCTCACAGAACTGTCAAGACAACAGGCTACTACCTTCCTCACAGGACTGTCAAGCCAACAGGTATAACCTTTCTCACAAAACTGTCAAGCCAGCAGGCTACTACCTCCCTCACAGAACTGTCAAGCCAGCAGACTACCACCTTTCCCCACAGAACTGTCAAAACAGCAGGCTACTACCTCCCTCACAGAACTGTCAAGCCAGCAGACTACCACCTTTCCCCACAGAACTGTCGAGACAGCAGGCTACTACCTCCCTTACAGAACTGTCAGGCCAACAGGCTACTACCTTCCCTCACAGAACTGTCAAGCCAACAGGCTACTACCTTCCTTCACAGAACTGTCAAGCCAGCAGGCTAGTACCATCCCTCACAAAACTGTCAAGCCAACAGGCTACTACCTTCCTTCACAGAACTGTCAAGCCAGCAGGCTACTACCTTCCCCACAGAACTGTCAAGCCAACAGGCTACTACCTTTCCTCACAGGACTGTCCAGCCAGCAGGCTAGTACCATCCCTCACAGAACTGTCAAGCCAACAGGCTACTACCTTCCTTCACAGAACTGTCAAGCCAGCAGGCTACTACCTTCCCCACAGAACTGTCAAGCCAACAGGCTACTACCTTCCCTCACAGGACTGTCCAGCCAGCAGGCTACTACCTTAGCTCACAGAACTGTCAAGACAACAGGCTACTACCTTCCCTCACAGAACTGTCGAGACAACAGGCTACTATCTCCCTCACAGAACTGTCAAGACAACAGGCTACTACCTTCCCTCACAGAACTGTCAAGACAACAGGCTACTACCATCCCTCACAGAACTGTCAAGACAACAGGCTACTATCTCCCTCACAGAACTGTCAAGACAACAGGCTACTACCTTCCTTCACAGAACTGTCAAGCCAGCAGGCTTCCAGCTACATGATGGCGGTCTGTAAATAATCGAGTCTGGAACAGACAATCCAATGACTGACGTCATCCACACGATTGGGATATGATGACGTGCATGAACCATGTCAGCGAGCCTGATCACCCGATCTCATAAGGGTTGCTGAAGACCTATTCTAACCGGGATCTTCACTGGTAACCTGTTTACTGAAACCCACGAGCACGAGACAGTGCTGATAAACAAAGGATCACAATCAGGGCGAATCTGGGATTCGAACCCAGGATCATCCCATTCCGTACACATAAGCGTGTGCACATGTACACAGACACACAGACTCACAGACTCACGCCGACACGCAGCTACCAGACCAACAAGTACACAACCACAAACAGTGACCAGTAAATACGTCTCCTCCAGGTAATTCTAAACCAGGACATGTCTATAAACTATCAATTAGCCACAAAAGCATTAATCCGATTGCACAAATCCTACTTCCTTCAACCTTCATCTGCACTGCGGCCTGTACTCGGCCGTCACTTGTGACCGCCATGATGTCCTGCAGCGAACCTTCAGTATGAGTCTCCGCTATCGGCTTGTGGTCCCAACGTTTGTATCTTACCTACATCATACTGCGACACTCCGCTATCGGCTTGTGGTCCCAACGTTTGTATCTTACCTACATCATACTGTGACACTCCGCTATCGGCTTGTGTCTCCGCGTTTGTATCTTACCTACATCATACTGAGACACTCCGTTATCGGCTTGTGGTCTCCACGTTTGTATCTTACCTACATCAAACTGTGACACTCCGTTATCGGCTTGTGGTCCCCGCGTTTGTATCTTACCTAGATCATACTGTGACACTCCGTTATCGGCTTGTGGTCTCCACGTTTGTATCTTACCTACTTCATACTGTGACACTCCGTTGTCGGCTTGTGGTCTCCACGTTTGTATCTTACCTACTTCATACTGTGACACTCCGTTATCGGCTTGTGGTCTCCACGTTTGTATCTTACCTACATCATACTATGACACTCCGTTATCGGCTTGTGGTCTCCACGTTTGTATCTTACCTACTTCATACCGTGACACTCCGTTATCGGCTTGTGGTCTCCACGTTTGTATCTTACCTACTTCATACCGTGACACTCCGTTATCGGCTTGTGGTCTCCACGTTTGTATCTTACCTACATCAAACTGTGACACTTCGTTATTGGCATGTGGTCCCCGCGTTTGTATCTTACCTAGATCATACTGAGACACTCCGTTATCGGCTTGTGGTCTCCACGTTTGTATCTTACCTACATCATACTGTGACACTCCGTTATCGGCTTGTGGTCTCCACGTTTGTATCTTACCTACATCATACTGCGACACTCCGCTATCGGCTTGTGGTCTCCACGTTTGTATCTTACCTACATCATACTGTGACACTCCGCTATCGGCTTGTGGTCTCCACGATTGTATCTTACCTAGATCATACTGTGACACTCCGTTATCGGCTTGTGGTCTCCACGTTTGTATCTTACCTACATCATACTGTGACACTCCGCTATTGGCTTGTAGTCTCCACGTTTGTATCTTACCTACATCATACTGTGACACTCCGCTATCGGCTTGTGGTCTCCACGTTTGTATCTTACCTACATCATACTATGACGCTCCGTTATCGGCTTGTGGTCTCCACGTTTGTATCTTACCTACTTCATACTGTGACACTCCGCTATCGGCTTGTGGTCTCCA